GGCGGGGCGAGGCCGTAACCCCTCGGCGGCGAAGCGGGCGAGGTTGTGTGGAGGCGCCGCCATCTTAGCAGGGCCCCGCCCAGCTGGGGAGGGCGAGGGGGAAAGGGCGCGGTCCGACAGCTGATGCTCCTGGGTGAGCATTAGGCTGCGGGGATGGCCCCGGCCGCGGTTTTGGGCCTGGGGGTGCCCGCCCGGCCTGAGGTGGTGGGAGGTGTGATGCCTCTCTTAGCGCGTGGGGTGAGGCGGCTTGGGGGGCTTCCCACAGCTGGTGTGGAGTCTGGGCAGTCGCTAGGCCCCTGTGTGGGAAGTCGTCTTGGCCAAAGGGTTGCTGGCAGCTGGCGGAGCTCAGTGGGGCTGCAGGCACACGGGGGGGGAGCAGAGGAGAGTAAAAGCAAGTTACTGAAGGTTCTGTGGGCCTTTGATTCTAGTCCACCAAATTAAAATATTTGGTAAGTGGAGTTACTTAACTCCACTGCTGGCCGCTGCCATTTGCTGTTGCTGGTTGTAGCTGTACCCTGCGAAGTGCTAAACTGCTGCCTTTTTGATTCAAAGTATGAAAATAAAAAAAGTTTACATTGCCCTGAAAATTTTCAGCATCATTATTTTTACAAGTGTTTGTGTTGTGGCTGTGTAAAGGGATTTTTCAGAGAGGCAAAAATTAACCCCCTTTTAAAAGGTAAGGAGGGTGGTTTGTCATCACTTTTTTGTCACTTATTTTTTTACCACCGCTTTAAACTGTAGAGGTAAACATAATATGCTCAAGTAACTGTCCAGGCATTTCCAATCTTGTGGATATTATTAAAAGTATTTTAGTTGAGGGGGGATAGAAATTTAATTTCTCTGTAGGGGAATGCTATGTTTACATGACTTGGAGCTCTGGTCAGATCCAGGATCCTCCAGAAGATTTTGATGTCCAGCATCTGCTTTGTATGTCTATAAAACCTTTTAAATGTTTACATAGGCACGCCTACAGCTGTGCCTGTGTTTGAAGTTCACTGATTAGCCGGTGAGTACTGCTTAACGACAGAGAGAAATGAGACAACTAACGATAACATTGTTGGGCACAGGGTGGCTCAGCATTATGTAAAACCAGTAGTTTATGTTTTAAAAAGAGAGATTTTGCTCCTGTGGAAGTTAAATTAAGTGCAAGCTTTTCGTGCTCTTGGAATACACAGCATTATAAGATGGTGATTGCAGATTAAGTAATTTCATTTTACTGAATTATATATAGGCATGAGCAAGTGAATACTGAGTGTTACGAAACACTTGTGGTGTTCCAAATTGTATGTGAGGAATATGCCACATACAGAGATGGAGCCCAGCATCGTAATGATTGTATTAATTAGAAGTTATTTTAAAAGGTGGTTTCCTCATGAAGTTTTCCTCCTTGAAATAAGTGTCTCCTAAATGGCCTCCTGTGTTTGCCTGCATGCTTTGAAACTACGTGATAAGCATTAATCAGCAATAAGGCGATGGTGTAGTAATCTCATAAACAATGAGTGTTGTTAAATAATCATATTTACGGCTGGATAACAGGATTGTATATGTCTGCTTGCCTGATACGGTTAGGAAATGATTGGGGTTTTGTGATGATAAAGTTGCCGTATGCCAGCAGCTTCTGCAGTCTGGACGTGGACTGACTAACTGTACCTCGAGGTGAGGACAGCCCGTTCCACATTTGCAAGCACCTTGGTTGGGGTGACAATGAAAGGGCTGACTGTCCTGGTGAATGGTGCCGTTCACTGAGCTGCTGAATTACGCTTTTGTGTTACATAGTTCTGGTCGTATTTAGAGACTTCGGATGAACGATTGCATAGGCAGGCAGACCGCAATTGGCTCCTTTGAGTGGGAGGAGATGAAGCTTGTCCAGAAGGAACTGTCTCATCCAGTTCTCTTCTCCAGGGTTGTTTTTATCGTCTTGAATGCGATGGGGATTTGGGTGTTTCCTCATACAGCCAGATAGGCTTGGGAGAGGTACAGAGACATCGGCCAGACTCCAGAAAATAGCAAAGCAGTCAAAGCTGTAGACTTTTGGAAAGCCATGGGCATTCAGAAAATGTTTTTCTAATTCTCATTTAGCTTTTTGTCCTTTTCTCATGGGATTGGCTCTTTGTTTTATTGACTCTTTTCTTCTTAAAGTATCTTCATATCAGTGGAGTACTTTTACCAGCTCCTCCTCTGTCACATCCTCCCTATTACCTTTCTTGGTGATTTAACTTGCTGCCTTATAGATAAGTGTCCCCACCTCATTCTTTCAAAATGCAACTTTAACATAATATTCTCTTTTATTACATTGATTAGTTTAAGTATGGTTTATATGTAGTCTCTTGGTTTTCCACACATCTAATCTACCTTGAGTAAGGTAACAGATCAGAGAACAGGCAATTTTATACAGATCATAGATCTTCTTTACAAAGGTGTTCAGTGGGGCATCCTTTGGTTTATCTTAGAGCTTTTGCTGTAACACGTCATTATTTATGAAGACAAAGACTAATATTCCCTGTAGGTGTGTTGCATACTAATCGGACTTACCATAGACTATTTACAGGCCGTCAGTACGTTTTGTTACTATGTTTTGTAATTCTGTTGCTATTGTAGATATGTTAGGTTTTAATTAGGTTATTTGGATATTAATTTTTCCAGCTATTAAATCAAAGAAAGGGGAGATATGGGATCTCTGAGAAGCCTGTAAAATGATTTTTTTCTACCTGTGATGTAAGCATGGTTGCATTCCTGGCAACTAAAAGTCAAACAAATTGTCTATTTGAGAAGTGGAGCTTCTAAAATCATAGACTGTTATGGTCCTAAGGGAATCTTAAAACACAGGCCGAGACCAGCTATGAAAAGGAAAGGAAAAATTTGTGTCACTGTTTAAACAATAGGCTTCTTTCATGTGGAGGACCTAGATGTCTGTTAATTACCAACTGGCTTGAGGGGTTTGGAGTCTGGCCCAATATGCTGAAATTCTTAACCATCCCCTAGCTGGCATATCCTTCAAGGTCTGCATTTGGAGACTGGTAATGTAATGGATTGCATCTTTATAGACTGTTTATGTAGTAGAAATGTTTTCACTTTTAGCTGTATTTCTGTCTTGCAGTCTCAGTATTCATTGCCGATGTAGATTCCAGACAGTTGCATGAACACAGAAAGAAAAGACTGGTTTAAATGTTAGATAATGCTGGACTAGGTCCAGCATGCGTTGTCCTTGCTGTGCCACAGCCCCACCACGATACATTGATTAAGACCTAAAAGTGTGTCCTCTAATTTTGGGTGACTCGGATGAATTAACAAGATCTGAAAGCCTGTGATTACAGTTGCACTTGAAAGGGCCTGAGATCTCTGCAAACCAGGCAGTAGATGTGTGTGATGAAAGGAACCCAAAATAAATGGATGCCTAAAACCCTTTTAATCTTCATTTCTCCATGTGAACGTAACTATATATTTATCCGAAATAAATTCTCGCTGGTATTTTCTGAAGTAAAGCTAGTGGTTGTAAAGTATTCTGACCCTTTTGATGGGCTCTGTTTGTGGCTTTGCGTGCAGATTAAAGTATGCGCAAAAGTATTTTCATTAAATGAAGCTGTAGCAGACAAAAATTTCGAAGCGACCTTCAAGATTTAGTGAACTTGCAGTGTTCCCGCTCTTGAGAGATGTTCTGTGGCGTGCTCCACAACTTCTTTTTGATTTGCCTTTTATTTTTTGAATCAAAGCGTAGAGGAAGCTGTCGTCGTGATGCCAGCTGATGTAAGGCTGATCGGGTGGCGCTCTTCTTGGGAGCAGCTGTACAAAGGCAACGGAGTGAGTGCCTGGCACAGAATTGGACCTGACCTAA